TTCACTTCGGTTTCTTTATCTTAGACAGCCGGTTGGACCCCTTGGACGGGAATTCAGGCCGTCGTAAAACCGCTACCTACACAGAACAGCCAAAAACACAGAATAAACGCAGACACCATCCATGCCTCGATTGGGATTATAACCTACGATCCCAGTATTAGAGCGAGCGAAAGTTTTTCATGTCTTAGGGCTGGAACACACACAGCCACATCGGTCGTACGACGTCCGTACGGTTCATGCCGCATCAAGTAGTAGAATATAAAGTGTAGTCTTAGCTTTCAAACATGACGACATGCGACATTTACCGTACGGCAGTCGGAGAGCAAAGAAATGTATTTGGTCGCTCTAGTGTGAAAAGGAGGTGGTACGGCAAAAAAAAAATTGTACGACATTTTTCCGTAAGACCGATGTCGCTGTGTGTGTTCAAGCCCTTAGACCGCGCGCCCACTGTGGTCGGCCTGTCATTCACTAGTTCACTAAAACCGTTCAGGAAAGACAAGTTGTCAGTGTAATTTATCTGGCCCTAATTGCAACGCAATTAGTGTTGACAAAGTAGAAGGTCCTCTGTAAATTACCTTGTCCGTTGACTCTATTTGGTCGCATAAAGTACAGACGGAGACACAAATGAAAGATAAAAACCACAAATACTTCGGAGTGAAACTCTTAGCAACCAGGAATATTAGATTAATAATTACGCAATTTAGTTTTCCATTCTGTGAATGAATTAAAGTTTCCCAATAAGTTAAGTTTGTGTGTCATCATGTTACATTTCGCCCTGTCTCATGTTAGAAATTGCTCAAAGAAAGTAAAGCTATCCTTGTAACAGGCCGTGAAGGCCTACAGTGTTGTGAGACATTTTCTAGACAATCGGCTCACAGATGACGGTGAGGTTGTCAGTCTTTAATCGCCCTTCCTCCAGGAAAATTCCTAGTACTCATTTCTGTTAGGGGCTGAGTTTACATCAGGACCATAGTGCGGCTGGAAGGATTAGCTCAATAGAAAAATGCAATGACTTAATCGGGAAATGAACCCGCGACCTTTCGGCTTGTAGCATAGTACTTCAACCAACTACTCTACCGCGTACCTCATTAGGAAAACATATGAAATAACTTTAAGAGTTATACAGATTATACAATTTTTTATACATATTTCCATTTTGAAAGATAGACTTTTTTTTTAAATTATGCTTCCAAAAGGAAATCTGAATATCGATTTGATGCGACGCCGCGGATTTTATTTATATTCTTAAAAGAATAAAAAAGAAAGGGTGAAAAATATATTCCCACTCAGAATTTCTTGCCCTTATACAATCTATGAAAATCTGCCAATTGTTTCAAACTTTGATGGCGTGGACAAACACAAGGACATGATGATGTATAAGCCTTCCGACTAGAAAATAAAATCCTTCAATTTTCTCTGAATCCTTCCAACGTCCTAGCGGCGCCACGGAGGCGAGTAGTGTCAAGCATAGGACTATGTGATATTCCAACCTCTCTACTTCAAAACCTGAATTTAATAACCAGTAGGAATAATTCAGTGCCTGGTTCTTGCAAAGTTTTACATTTCATACTAAGTTCATTCTTACCCTACCTTACGTTGTCAATGGAATTTTTTGAGACGCATATAGAAAATTAATATGAAATAAAATGTTATTGGAAGCGAAGCATGGACTCTCGGAACAGAATAAATATGAATGAAAGCAGCATAAATGCCTTTCTAAGGTATGTAGCAGGTTATGTCCTGTAGGACAAAGAAAGGAGCGAAGCAGTAGGGCTGCAAATAAGAATTAGGAAGCTGAACAAACGGTACGTGATAGGAAGAACAAGCGACTGGAATAACTTTATAGTATTCCATCAGAAAAACCTCCCAAACAACTTTAATATTGAGNGACTGCTTTCTTCATAGTCACCGCCGTGAAAGCCTCAAATCTTACAACTTTAATATTATCAAACGGTAGAAAGACGTGGTCTAGGAAGCTAAATGACTTGATATTTGAGGACGGAGCGGACTCACAAGTACAACCCTTGAAGATGGTCGTGATGATTAGGACGATGATTAAAGAAACTTGTACCAATCCACTGAAGGTCTGTAGTTCGTTACGAGTATTAACATCAATCTTGGCCGCGCCATAGCTCAAGCGGTTAGTTGCCCGGGTTCGATCACGGGTCTAGTCAAGTTGGATTTGTGGTGGACAAAGTGGCGCTGGGGCAGGTTTTCTCTGAGTACTTCGGTTTCCCCTGCCAATCTTCATTCCACCAATTGCTCCACAATCACCCTCAGCTATCATCTGGGGCTGGTACAATAGGCCAGAAGTGGCCGCAGTACAAGGGACTTAGTCCCACCCCACTAACAATAACAACTTACATCAATCTATCTTCTTCTACTTGTTCCTTCGACAATTTAAGCTCTCTAGTGTGTTACCATTTCAGAATTGATTTAATATAGATAATTGGTAGGATTTCTTGGATGGAGGATCAGCCATCGCAAGACCGCTACCTGCACAAGGCAACGCGAACACAGAACACAAGCATCCATCTGTGCCTTGAGTGGAATTCGAACACACGATCCCAGTGTTCTAGCGGGCAAAGACATTTCTTGTCATAGACCGGGCGGCCACTGGGATCAGCTCCATTAATGTCTGTTGTAAAAATCATGTTTGCCTGCCACGGTAGCCGAGCGGTCTAAGGCATGAACTGTCTTCGCTCGCTCGGAAGCCGGGACCGTGGGTTCGGATGTTTCCTGTGAGGTACGAACTGAATTCTAAAACATTAATATTATACACTGCCGGTCACAGTAGCCGAGCGGTCTAAGGCATGAACTGTCTTCGCTCGCTCGGAAGCCGGGATCGTGGGTTCGAATCCCACTCAGGACATGGATGTTTTGTGTGCGTTTTTCTGTGTTTGTGTACAGGTAGAGGCCTTGCGACGAGCTGATCACCCGCCCAAGGAGTCCTACCGTATGGTCCGGCAGCATACTGCCAAAACATTTAGTGTAGAAGTAGTAAATGGGATTGTATGCACTTGAAGACTAGTAAACCGAAGTGAAACGGAGACTTTCATGGAGGTAGGCCTAGGCCCAAATGAGAGCTGTAGTGCCAATGAAAAAAAAATGTATGAGTTATTAATTATTGAAAAATTATGTATATTTTTCGCTGTGTTTTTTGTTTGTGTTTGTTTCCTTATTTTCCATAAGCCTTCGCTTATAGGGAAGATGCAAATAGAAGCTTGAATGGAAACCCCTTGCTTAGAAGTTTGTACTACATGCTAGGCTGACATGACGGGGTTACATATTGAAGCGCGCTACGGGGTATGTCCGTGCTGTTCGGGGACGGTCTCAGGATTGTTCAGGAAGATAACGTTGCCTTAAATTGTGGCAAAACTTTGAGGCGACATGACGTGATGGAGAGAGGTCATGATTTGAAGACCGCAATGAAATAGCTGGAACACTACATATTGTATGAAAACTATAATATTCACTGCATTCCATTACGAATCTAAGCAATACGACTTAAATTTGAAATTGAATTGCTTAGAAATTTATAAGACCTTTATTTTTACCTCTTCATTAAATTTAATGTTGTAGATCACACATCTTCTTTGGTCCCACGGCGCTTTATGTTGAGACGCCATGTTTGTGTAAGTGTCTGTACGTAGAAGTAAACATTTCTTCATGCTTGTTAACTCGGGTCTCATCGCGAGTGCGCATGGCTTTGCCAAGCTATAAATATGCGGGAACAAGCAGTGCATATGCATCTACCGCAGAATAAAAACTGATTGACACGCTGTTATAGCCTTTCTTTCCTGGTAGCATGAAAGTGCTTTAGCTTGTCAGCTATTCTACACCTTTAATGAAATGCGAATATTCGTTACCGTGTTCACATATCCTGAAATATTCAAGATCCACTTTAATATACATTGATTCATGGAACTGAGCCCTTCTTGAGAAGCTGCCACTTGTGCATCTACTCAAGAACTTCCCAGAATTTTATGGAACCCGACGGTTCATTACCGTGTTCACAAAAGACCTCCACTGGTCCCTATCTTGAACCAGATCAATCATATCCATACCATCCAATCTTATCTCTCTAAGATCCTTTTTAATATTGTCCAGTGACCTACGTCTTGATCTTCCCAGTGGCTTCTTTCTTTCTGGCTTTCTAACCAGTATCCTACATAAATTCCTCTGCTTCCCCCCCCCCATTTTAACACTTTCTTTTCATATATACCGGTTTATATGAAATATATTCTTACGTTAAGGATTTGCGAGTAAGTTGCAAATGTCCATCTATCCCTACTCCCAGTGCCTATTACAGAGTGGCCCATAACTCAGTTAACTTGGTTAGTAAAATATATACTGAAACAAAAAATCTCTTTATTACTATTTGAATTTACAAAAATCTTTCGAAATGGAATCCACCATGTTCAGCACATATCACAAAGCTGCGCTACCGTACTAAGGATTGACTGGAGGGTTAAAGTGTGAACATTCCCGTTAATCTGGAAAAGAATGATTTAGATTAACTGAATTTTGGGCCACTCTCTATATGTTCCTTCCATCTTGACGTTCTTGAGCTCCCTAATAACGGCATAAATGTATCCACCTTCCTGTTGCTTCATGTCCTTAATTTTAGATATTCTTCTCAGATTTCTCTTTCCAGACTGCTACAGTAAAATGTCAGTAGATACTGCCCTTACTGCTCTGCTTTTCAATATCTGTCACTGACTGTCCAGACCAAACATTGGTACATAACATCAATAAATGACACTTAAGTTCCCATAGGTTATATGCCAATTTTGCAGTAAACCCCACGTGCACACATATCGGTTAGCTTTCTGAATAAGAAGTCAGTAATACATTTATCTGCTCGATGTGTCCAAACAGATTTATTTTCGTTCTGTTTCTGTTCTCATTTGAAAACTCCACCCCTTCCCTTCACCGTCCACATTGACTGATGACGTTGGGAGGGGCGGTCACTAAAAGTTTGATGTTTCCATTTGTAGATAAACACCTCGGTACTTATACTGGCTCTGCGGGAGGCAGTGTTTGCAGGTCTCAGCCAGGGGAAATCGAAAACGGAGACCGTCTGGTGAGTGTTCTGTTTCGTACACTACAACTTACATATATATAATATTTGTATTGAAAATGAATGGGACGATGTTTGGTTTTACTGCACTCAGTCCAGGACATAGAAGCACATGTTATGGACCAAGGTGGCACAAATCGGAGTTAACTGTGTGGATTTATACAGCCAAATTACTCATTGCTAATACAATTATACTCTGAAGACGGAGTCATTGTAGAAGCGTTCGTAATAAATCCACTAATAGAGACATATATTCGTATAGCTGGTCACATTGACCGCGTAGTCTAAGGCATGCAATGTCTTCGCTAGCTAGATCACTGGGATCGTGGGTTCGAATTCCACTCAAGGTATGGATGTTTGTCTGCATTTAATCTATGTTCGTGTAGGTAGTTGCCTTGCCATGGGTTGATCCTCCGTCCAAGGAGTTCTACCCTCTCCCTTAGGATTAAGAAACTGAAGTGAAACAAAGCTTTTCACGGATACCTTATGCTCCAGAGTGGGAACTACAGGAGAGAGAGAGAAAGATACATTTATACCTCCGTCTCAAATGCAACTTTGTTATTTCATTTTCTACTACGCCTCGCTACATGTTATGGCCGTGCCTGGTCATCATCAGGTAACTGTTAATCACGTAGCGAAAGGAGGACAGAATGAAACAATAAATTTGTATCTAAGACTGACATATATGTGTATAGGTGAAAATTAATGCGACAGGATGCTGAAATATAGTAATGGAGAATCTCACTGATAAGGCCGCGCCATAGCTCAAGCGGTTAGTCGCTGGCTTCCCACCGCGGCGGTCCGGGTTCGATCCCGGGTCTGATCAAATGGGATTTGTGTTGGACAAAGTGGCGCTGGAGCGCGTTTTCTCCGAATACTTCGGTTTCCCCCGCCAATCTTCATTCTACCAAATTCTCCATCATCATAATCACCCGGGGCAGACTACAATAGACCAATCAGTGGCCGCCATGCTGGGTGGACCCAGTTGGACTCCAAGCCCCACTAAGCGAATTAATCTCACTCTTATGGAATTCGAATGCTCATGACCTTCATCGCGAAACCAAATTCTAACAGACTTAATCTTATTTTTACAGCTAATTTGTTAAGGTTTATGTCGTCTACACTTAAGTTTAAAAACTGATAACTTCCCAGGAGATTAATTTGTAACGATATATTCTACACCTCTCCTATTTTTCCTTATGTTTTTTATTGCTAGTGGGGTGGGACTAAGTCCCTTGTACTGCTGCCACTTCTGGCCTATTGTACCAGCCCCAGATGATAGGTGAGGGTGATTGTGGAGCAATTGGTGGAATGAAGATTGGCAGGGGAAACCGAAGTACTCGGAGAAAACCTGCACCAGTGCCACTTTGTCCACCACAAATCCCACTTGATCAGACCCCGGAATCGAACCCAGGCCGCCGCTGTGGGAAGCCAGCGACTAACCGCTTGGGCTATGGCGTGGGTATTTCCTTATTTTAGTGACTAGGATTTATTCAGTAACATAAATCAGAAACTTGAAGAAATGCAGTCTGTTTGTCCTGAGGTTCTGGACAGAGGAGGTAACCTCCACATATGCAAATAATCGCATACAGTCAACAAGAAGCGACCCTCCATCACAGAAGGTGGGTGTGCAGTTAACGGCTAAACAGGATCGGAATTAGACACGTTCTTTTCAACAGAATTCTGTTAGCAGCCGGTAGTCATTGCGAGGGGAGACCGAAAAACAGTGAAAGGGACGGTATTTTCTTGAAATTCAAAGGCCAACATTGCAATGATGGATCATTGTTTGTTCTTTTAGTGTTGTGACGTAATGGCAGGAAGCTGAAATAATGGAATTGTGCATTACCGAGTAATGGCTAAATAAACAGTCAGTGGGCACGTGACGACATGGCGAACTGAGAAGATTTAGCTCGTGCTGTAGTGATCAGCAGAGTGAGTGCTTTGTAACTGCTTATGGTTAAGACTTAGAACAGCTAGTAGAGCCGGTCTCACTGGCTGGGCGGGACTGATGGTAAGCACCAGTACCGGTAGGATATAGAGACCGGTAGAATATCATAGAGGGAAGCACAATGGACCAAGATAGGTCTAAGTGCATGGGGAAATCCATCCTCTCCAATAACTAACTAACTAAGACTTAGAAATGTTCAATAAATCCAATCACTAACCCAAACCCCATGCCTAGTCATTACCACGTGACTGTACCTATGACAGCCGTGTATCCTAATAAGACTGAATGATCTGTACCTTTGTGTGTACACTGAACAGAACCCGCTTCGATCAGTCCCCCCCCCCAACACCCACCACTCAGATGCTGTGGGCGGTACTCACAAACACAGCGAAGAGCTCGTTAATTTTCCATTATAACATTATAAAGACTACAAGAATAGAACGGCTCACGCGGTAGGTTAGTTGGTTGAGGCACTTTGATATAAGCCGGAAGGTCTCGGGTTCGATTCCCGATGGGGTTGATTTTTAAAATTAACTTAATCCTTCCAGCTACACTGTGGTCCTGGGGTCGACTCAGCCTCTAATAGAAATGAGTACCAGGAATCTTCCTGGGGTCGGGGTTAAAGGCTGAAAACCTCACCGCCATCTGTGAGCCGATTGTCTAGAAAATATGGGAGCCTCGACATCTCACAATCCTATATGAATGAATGTATAAGGGGTAGGCCTTCTGGGCCCTTGAACCTCGATCTACAGTGGTCTATTGTTCTTTCACAATTCTATAGGCCGTAATATTACTACATTACATTTTGAGAATTAACTGATTTATAGCATCTCTCTAGCTGAAGGTAACGTAGATAAGGCACACAAACCTACTTACAGCTACATACACACGTATATGTATTGCATATATAAATGTATACATTGGAGTATACATACGACCGCGTGTATATGCAGTCATGCACACATAAACACACCCGCCTGAACAATGCGACATGGAGATGTTATGTTTGAATAAAAATGTGTATGTGGGTAGGTGGGTGTGTATGTATGTGTAAGTGAATACTTGGTTCTACGAGACAGGAAGTGACGAGACAACTGCGCAAGAACAAGCTTCATGATGTGTATCCCTCAGCAGATGCTACCAGGGTGATCACATCGACCGGAAGGCGACGAGCTCGGCATGGGATCCGTGACAATTACGTATAGCATCTTATTCGGAATTAAAGTAAAGTAAAGTAAAGATATCCCTGTAACAGGCCGTGTAGGCCCATAGGGTTTTGAGATGTTTAGGCTCCCGCATTTTCTAGATAATCGGCTCATAGATGGCGACAATGCTGTCAGCCCTACGCGCCATTCGCCCTTTACCCCCAAGAATATTTCTGGTACTCATTTCTGTTAGAGGCTGAGTCGACCCCAGGGCTATATTGCGGCTGGAAGGATTAGGTCAATTGAAAAAATCCAATGATCTCATCGGGACCTGAACCCGCGACCTTCCGGCTTGTAATGTAGTGCCTAAACCACCTACGGTACCGCGTATTCGAAGGTAGTGAGTGTAAAGGGTTACTTTGAAGAAATAAGCGCTGACGGGAGGATAACATTAAATTGGATGTTAAATAAATAACGGGAAAGAGTGTGAAATATATTCGTCTGGCTCATGATAGGAACCAGTGGAAGGTTCTTGTGAACGCAGCAATGAAATTTCAGTTCCACGAAAGGCGGAGAATCTCGTGACTACATATGTGACTATCTTCATTGGTTGTATCCTGTTGTGTTGATGGTTAACATAATTTCTATACATATGTGACTCTTTGAGTCCTCAAGGCTGACTCTGCTGTAAGGAATTAATTGTACGTGTTGGCATCTTCTTCATAAAAGACTATAAATACATAAAATAAAAGTGAATAATGGTCTCCTGTGAAACATATTATATTTGTGTGACATATTCACTTCTCTAAAAGAAACAGTATTTTAAATAATTTCTGTCACGGTAAAATTTGAGCAGGGCTACCAGCGTATGTCTGACAGAAACATCGCCGTAAACGCATTTACATATGAGTACAGGCGTAGTACGACCCAAACGCAATGGTTCCGAATGTCACGTGTTTCTGCAGTGCGCTATGTAGAATTAATATCATGCTGATGGCGGTACTTTGAAGCTGTGGGACTTCGTGGGAGAAGGGGCAGGCCGTGCGCGTGAAGTGACGCTGTAAATGTGGAAAATCGTAAAACAGAAAATAGGATCATCTGCTTCACATACGTCATTGTTCGAGGGGGAAGGTAGTGATTACGAATACAGGTCTATTCTGTACGTAGAATTAGCACACTAAACAGTATGTGTTTATTTTGTAGTGTTTTGTATAGGTGTAAACTGTGGTTTCTTATTCTGGACGAAGGATATAAAGGATAACTGTAATATAATTCATTGTCAGTCATGGGACATGTGTTTATTAATAAAGTTTATAGACTGCGAGATATATTTTAGAACTGAAGTCCTCTCCACAGACCCAAACACAAATTACAGACATAAACAAAGAAATGTTTTCATATATTATTATTATTATTTAGAGAGGGTCGGTTTCCCCATGCACCGCGACCATTTTGATCTACTGTGCTTCCCTCTATGATATTCTCTCAGTCTCTATACCTTACCGATAAATAGTGCGTACCATCAGTCCCGCCGAACAAGCGAGTTCGGCCACTTGCTTAGCGGTGTCTATAATGCTTCCCCCATCTATCAGAGGCCTTAGAGACTATTGTTGGGCGGGAAACGTCTTGGAATTTGGCTCAGTGATCCCCTTTGGGGATATGAGGTTCTTTTACNAAGCAGGACAGAACGGATAAACACCACAGCATGGCTAACTTCCGAGCCGAGTGTGGAGCGTGGAATATTTTTAATAAGGAACAAGAATGCAGTCGCTGCAGCGTGAACATGAGTTGTCGGACATAAAACGAAAGATTTATAGTGTAAATAAAATTGTACATGATATGAAACACAAATATTCCTGAGACTTCCATTCTTCTGTTTAAGGATATTGTCGCGTGCATAGGTGACTAAG